AAACCCTAGCCCTAACCTAAATCCTTACCCAAACCCTTATTCTAAAATCTAACCCTAACCGTAACCCTTATCCAAACCCTAGCCCTAAACTAAATCCTTACCCAAACCCTTATTCTAAAATCTAACCCTAACCGTAACCCTTATCCTAACCCTAGCCCTAACCTACATCCTTACCCAAACCCTTATTCTAAAATCTAACCCTAACCGTAACCCTTATCCAAACCCTAGCCCTAACCTACATCCTTACCCAAACCCTTATTCTAAAATCTAACCCTAACCGTAACCCTTATCCAAACCCTAGCCCTAACCTAAATCCTTACCCAAACCCTTATTCTAAAATCTAACCCTAACCGTAACCCTTATCCAAACCCTAGCCCTAACCTAAATCCTTACCCAAACCCTTATTCTAAAATCTAACCCTAACCGTAACCCTTATCCAAACCCTAGCCCTAACCTAAATCCTTACCCAAACCCTTATTCTAAAATCTAACCGTAACCGTAACCCTTATCCTAAACCTAGCCCTAACCTAAATCCTTACCCAAACCCTTATTCTAAAATCTAACCCTAACCGTAACCCTTATCCAAACCCTAGCCCTAACCCAAATCCTTACCCAAACCCTTATTCTAAAATCTAACCCTAACCGTAACCCTTATCCTAACCCTAGCCCTAACCCAAATCCTTACCCAAACCCTTATTCTAAAATCTAACCCTAACCGTAACCCTTATCCAAACCCTAGCCCTAACCTAAATCCTTACCCAAACCCTTATTCTAAAATCTAACCCTAACCGTAACCCTTATCCAAACCCTAGCCCTAACCTAAATCCTTACCCAAACCCTTATTCTAAAATCTAACCCTAACCCTTATCCAAACCCTAGCCCTAACCTAAATCCTTACCCAAACCCTTATTCTAAAATCTAACCCTAACCGTAACCCTTATCCAAACCCTAGCCCTAACCTAAATCCTTACCCAAACCCTTATTCTAAAATCTAACCCTAACCGTAACCCTTATCCTAACCCTAGCCCTAACCTAAATCCTTACCCAAACCCTTATTCTAAAATCTAACCCTAACCGTAACCCTTATCCAAACCCTAGCCCTAACCTAAATCCTTACCCAAACCCTTATTCTAAAATCTAACCCTAACCGTAACCCTTATCCAAACCCTAGCCCTAACCTAAATCCTTACCCAAACCCTTATTCTAAAATCTAACCCTAACCGTAACCCTTATCCAAACCCTAGCCCTAACCTAAATTCTTACCCAAACCCTTATTCTAAAATCTAACCCTAACCTTAGTAACCAGTTGCTTATCAACAGATAGTGTGTTGATGGCAATGTCAGACCATCTACAGGACTATTTGGACTATCCAAATAAAGTGTGATCACTTAGGCTACACATCTACATGTACTGCATGTATAGATATGTAATGTCTGTGCACCGAACCTTGGCTACAGTTCACAGTGATTTAATGTCTATTCTATTCTATTCTCTTTTAATGATATCCTATTCCACCCCAGATAAACCACTCATCTACATGTATAGTAGCCTATAGGCTGAATGTGGATGTATTTACATCTATAGTAGTGTTCACTCCCCTGGACTTTGTCCACATGTTGTTGTGTTACAGCCTGAATTTAAAATGGATTACATTGAGAATTTTTGTCACTGGCCTACACACAATAGCCCATCGTGTAAAAGTGGAATTATGTTTTGCAAAATGTTTACAAATTAAAAGCTGAAATGTCTTGAGTCAAAAAGTATTCAATCCCTTTGTTATGAAAATACTAAATACATTAAGGAGTACAAATGTGCTTAAAAAGTCACATGAATAAGTTGCATGGACTCATTATTTGTGCAATAATAGTGTTTAACATGATTTTTTAATGAGTACCTAATTTCTGTACCCCACACATACAATTATCTGTAAGGTCCCTCAGTCGAGCAGTGAATTTCAAACGCAGATTCAACCACAAAGACCAGGGAGGTTTTTCAATGCTTCACAAAGAAGGGCACCTATTGGTAGATGGCTAAAAATAAAAAAAGCAGACATTGAATATCCCTTTGAGCATGGTGAAGTTATTAATTACACTTTGGATGGTGTATCAATACACCCAGTCACTACAAAGATACAGGTGTCCTTCCTAACTCAGTTGCCAGAGAGGAAGGAAACGTCTCAGGGATTTCACTATGAGGCCAATGGTGACTTTAAAACAGTTACAACATTTAATGGCTGTGATAGGAGAAAACTGAGGATGGATTAACAACATTGTAGTTACTCCACAATACTAACCTAATTGACAGAGTGAAAAGAAGGAAGCCTGTACATAATTAAAATATTCCAAAACATGCATCATTCATGGCCTGAATACAAAGTGTTGCGTTTGGGGCAAATCCAATACAACACATTACTGAGTACCATTCTCCATATTTTCAAGCATAGTGGTGGCTGCATCATGTTATGGGTATGCTTGTAATCGTTAAGGACTGGGGAGTTTTCAGGATAAAAAATAAATGGAATGGAGCTAAGCACAGGCAAAATCCTAGAGGAAAACCTTGTTCAGTCTGCTTTCCAACAGACACTGGGAGACAAATCCACTTTTCAGCAGGACAATAACCTAAAACACAAGGCCAAATCTACACTGGAGTTTCTTATCAAGAAGACAGTGAATGTTCCTGAGTGGCCGAGTTACAGTTTTAACTTAAACCTACTTGAAAATCTCTGGAAAGACCTGAAAATTGATGTCTAGCAATGATCAACAACCAATTTGACAGAGATTGAAGAATTCTGAAAAGAACAATGAGCAAATGTTTTATAATCCAGGTGTGGAAAGCTCTGAGAGATTTACCCAGAAACACTCACCGCTGTAATCACTGCCAAAGGTGATTCTATAAAGTATTGATTCAGGGGTGTGAATACTTATGTAAATTAGTTATTTTTTTACTTTGTCATTATGGGGTATTGTGTGTAGATGGGTGAGAAAAAACAAATATTTAATCCATTTTGAATTCAGGCTGTAACACAACATGTGGAATAAGTCAAGGGGTTTGAATACTTTCTGAAAGCACTGTATTTTTTTCTGTGCCCTGACTGAGCCTTGACTGCAGTTCCTAGTGATTCACTACATGCAGTTCCTAGTGATTCACTACATGCAGTTCCTAGTGAGTCTTTTCCCATGTGATGCAGACACCATAACAAAGCAGGAGTGGATTCCCACTGTGACAGGAGCACATGGATGCAGCATGGAATATCATCCTCCTCTGGAGAGGAGGCAACTGGTTTGGACAACAACATTGTCTGCTTGTAGGAGACCATGACTGTGAATTAGGCTAATCAAATCACACTAAAACAATAGCAGGTTGGGGCTACTTTCTTATGAGTATTGTAAAATAGGACTGTTATTTTTATGAATACATTAACCCTTACCTACACATTTACTTATTTACTTTAAAAAACCTCTCATAATATACTCCTAGAAGTATTTCTAGAGAAAAACAATTGGCATTAGAATTAATAGTTCATTATCAATATCTCACCAAAATGTACCTTGGATTCAGAAGCTCTACTCTATTGTATTCCGTCATAACCACATGGACAGAACAACACTCATGTCGGTAAATAGACTACATAAGGTAAAGAAAGAAGCTATGTTGGGCTAAGCAGTGCGTGAGGCTGCCTGCGCTGCATGTGCGATGTTAAAACTGTGAAACGTCACCTGAGGAACTGTAGGGCTGTAGGCCTATCTATTTTAAACCCCAATGTCCCTCACATACACACGCAGTTCTTCAGGTCTCACCACAAAGTTTTCCCACAGCAACTCTCAGATTTCGACAGAAGACTGTCAAGGGATCTCTCTCTCTCTCTCTCTCTCGCTCTCGCTCTCTAGTTCAGTTATTCATTATTGGTCTGCTGTGCTGCAGATCTATTAAAACATGCCTCCTCGTGCGTAAAATGCTGAGTCCTGGCACTGAGGAAAATGTGCACTGTCAATTTCATCCTCTTTTATTTGCCTAATCGTTGCTGTTGGCAGAGCAGATCGATATTGAGCAGGACTGGTGTTTGAGAGAGAAAATCCGGATGAGAGAAAGAGCGTCCTTCAGAAGTCAGGCATGCATTGAGCAGTGAGATCATTGTGTTGGTTATAAATATCTCGGTGTGTGCCAGGCCAGCAGAAACAATCCAGCACTCCAGCAAGCAGCTACAACACCAACCTGGTCTCAGAGCATTTGGTATTATTCTGTATGTAAATCCGGGAGACTCCATTTAGTACATGTTGAGTTTCATATGGTATGTATTAATTTGAGGATGTCCATCATATGTTACAAATTACAATTCGTACAATATGTTACGAATTTTCAGAATGTACAATATCTTACGAATTTGCTAAACATGTGGTATGTTACAATTTCCAATTTCTTGTGGCTAATGTTAGCTAGGTTGCTAACGCTAATGTTAGCTAGCTCTAGGGTTTAGGGTTATGGGTTAAGGTTAGGGTTAAGGTTAAGAGTTAGGTTAAAGGGTTAAGGTTAGGGATAGGGGAAGGGTTATCTAAAAGGGTTAAACGTAGTGTTATGGGAAGGGTTAGCTAACATGCTAAGTAGTTGCAAAGTAGCTAAAAAGTAGTAAGTAGTTGCTAATTAGCTAAAATGCTAAAGTTGTCCCTGACTTCACATAACACTCCGATTCACCTGACCAACCACCCTCCATTCGTTTTTGCCTCAAGCTAACTTCTATCTTATGTAACCATACCAAACATAACATATCATACTCATTTGATTGTCACGGATTTACATTTACTACGTTACATATAGTCTATGAGACCAGTCTGACAACAAACGCTGCTGGAACTGGATGTGTTTGTGTGCGGCGTGCGCACGGTTCCTCGTGCACTGGCATGGTACACTAGAGAGCTCAAGGACCACAACAACAAAATGATAGAAGGAGAAGAAGTGGCCTAGCAGAGCCAGAGGACAGACAGAGTTTCCTTTTTTTGGAAGAATGAATGTTCCTCTCTCCCATTTTGCCTTCGCTCTGCAGTTGATTTGCGCCGCTGTGGTTGCCGTCTCTGCCGCTGTAGTCACTGGATCCGTTGGATACGTCTCCTTGGAGGACCAACTTCTGGAAGAAGGTACTATCAGTGGTTCAGGACGCAGTACTTGCAGGCTTTACTGTCGGGTTGGCATTGGTTTCCATCTCCAGATCCACACTGACGGAAGAGTCAACGGCAGTCATGAACCTAATCAGTTGAGTAAGTTATTAAACCATTCTGCTATGGCCAGGCCTCTCAAGTGGAATTATGTTAATAAAGTGCGAGTGGATAGAGAGAAGGTAATGCTGAAATGGAAGACTATTGCTAACTGATTCAATTGATGTGTTTCCAACATGTATTGCATTAAGTTGCCTATGAACTATAATGTGTATTACTATGTATCCTGAAAAAGGTGTTCATTCATATTTTGATTAGCCACTTCAACCTTAATTGTAGTATATTTAAGCAATAATGCAGGAGGAGGTGTGATATATGGCCAATATACCATGGCTAAGGGCTGTTCTTATGCAGGACGCAACGCGGGTTGCCTGGATACAGCCCTTAGCCGTGTTATATTGGCCATATACCACAAACCCCCAGAGGTGCCTTATTGCTATTATAAACTGGTTACCAACGTAATTAGAGCAGTAAAAATAAATGTTTTGTTATACCTGTGGTATACGGTCTGATACACCACGGCTGTCAGCCAATCAGCATTCAGGGCTCGACCCACCCAGTTTTTAATTACATACTGTATGTTTAACCATTACATGTTTTAGGAATAACAAATCACCACACAGCTGTGGAAGGATTGTGTCATGTCAAGCTTAAAATAAATATGCTAAATAATACATACATAATTTATGAATAGGGTTCAGATTCGTAGCATATCTAGCTACCCCTGCCATTCCTACACCTATCCTTAGCCTCAGGTTACTGGTTTCCCTGAGAAGCTGTTGACTGGAGCACGGAACATCCTGGTCTCTTCTGCTGCACCTGTTACACAGACAGACCTGGCCAATGTCCCAAAGAGTCACAAACAAGCCATTTCAGACCGATGGCCAGAGCCTGTATTCATAAAGCGTCTCACAGAAGGAGGGCTGATCTAGGATCCGTTTGCCTTTCAGATCACAATTAATGCAATTATATGAACGGGGTGGACCTCATCCTAGATCAGCACTCCTTCTGCGAAACGCTTTGTGAATACGGGCTCTGGCCATCGGTCTGAAATGGCTTGTTTGTGACTCTTTGGGACATTGGCCAGGTCTGTCTGTGTAACAGGTGCAGCAGAAGAGACCAGGATGTTTTGGATTGGACATCAGTATGATTGTCATCACAACAACGGAATGTGCAACATGGTTGGATGGTTGTCATTGGCTCTGTGTATTACGAAGTTGGGACATGCTAGTTTCCAAAATTCCTCCTTCTGTTTCCTCAGTCTAAAAGTGTTTTGGATTCATAAAAAACGAAATTAAATTAAATATTTTTTGTTATTGCCAAAAAATGTAGCTAGTCAAATAATCTTACTCTGGATGATTATGTAATTGATGGAAAGAGTCTTGTAATCTCAAAATGCAATTTTGTATCCAGATCTAATATTAAGAAGAAGAAGAAGAAGAAGATCTTATAGGCTAAGTATTATATACTATTTTGACAAGACACATTTCAAAGTCGCCTAGAGTAATTCTAGAGTACTACTTATTTAAGATCAAAACAGCAACTCTATTAATGCAGTAACAGGAATCTGAAAAGTGTCTATGTGTCTCCAGCCAACAGATACAGTACATATAAATCAGGATTTGACCTTTGGGAGATTCCACCACCCCAGATATCTACTAACTCTAATTTACTTAGTAAGCAGTTTAAAGCTGACCATGAACATATTGTAATGCACTTTCTCTCTTTCATTTCATGATCTGCTTTAGAAGACATGTCATATTACAGTACATGGAAACATAGCCGTTCTTAAAGCTACAGTCTGCCATCTGGGAATCTGTTCAGTGGTCATTTAAAGTCTTAAATTCTGTCACGATCATCGTAATGAGCGGACCAAGGCGCAGCGTGATATGCGTACTTCTTTTAATGAGTACTTTACTAATATGACAAAATAACAAAACGATACGTGAAGTCCTCGGTCATAAACACAAACCTACACGGAACAAGATCCCACAAAAGACAAGTGCACAACAGGCTGCCTAAGTATGGTTCCCAATCAGAGACAACGAGCCACAGCTGTCTCTAATTGGGAACCACCCCGGCCAACATAGAAACACATAAACTAGAACAAGAACAAAGAAAACGAAACATAGAACCTAACACCCAGAAACTAACACATAGAAACTAACACCCTGGCTCAACATATAAAAGTCCCCAGAGCCAGGGCGTGACAGTACCCCCCCCCCCCCCCCCCCCAAAGGCGCGGACTGCGACCGCGCCAACTAAACCCAACAGGGGAGGGGCCGGGTGGGCATTCCGCCTCGGAGGCGGATCCGGCTCCGGGCGTGACCACCACCCTCTAACTAACCCCCCGTAGCGCCCCTGGTCTGGTCCTGCTGGCTGGAGCTGGACTGGACATCGGTGGAGCGGATTGCTTAGGCTCCGGAGTGGAGCAGCTGACCGGTACCTGACCAGGCACCGGTGAAACAGGCACGGGCTGTGCCGGACTGACGACGCGCACCACAGGCTTGGCGCGGGGAGCAGGAATGGGCCGGACCGGGCTGACGACGCGCACCACTGGCTTGGTGCGGGGAGCAGGAACGGGCCGGACCGGGCTGACGACGCGCACCACTGGCTTGGTGCGGGGAGCAGGAACGGGCCGGACCGGGCTGACGACGCGCACCACTGGCTTGGTGCGGGGAGCAGGAACAGGCCGGACCGGGCTGGCGACGCGCACCACTGGCTTGGTGCGGGGAGCAGGAACGGGCCGGACCGGGCTGACGACGCGCACCACTGGCTTGGTGCGGGGAGCAGGAACAGGCCGGACCGGGCTGGCGACGCACACCACTGGCTTGGTGCGGGGAGCAGGAACGGGCCGGACCGGCATGACGACGCACACCACTGACTTGGTGCGGGGAGCAGGAACGGGCCGGACCGGGCTGACGACGCGCACCACTGGCTTGGTGCGGGGAGCAGGAACAGGCCGGGCCGGGCAGGCAACGCGCACCACAGGCTTGGTGCGAGGGGTAGGAACAGGCCGGGCCGGGCTGGCGACGCGCACCACAGACTTGGTGCGAGGGGCAGGAACAGGCCGGGCCGGGCTGGCGATGCGCACCCCAGGCTTGGTGCGAGGGGCAGGAACAGGCCGGGCCGGGCTGGCGACGCGCACCCCAGGCTTGGTGCGAGGGGAAGGAACAGGCCGGGCCGGGCCGGGCTGGCGACGTGCACCACAGGCTTGGTGCGAGGGGCAGGAACAGGCCGGGCCGGGCTGGCGACGCGCACCACAGGCTTGGTGCAAGGGGCAGGAACAGGCCGGGCCGGGCTGGCGACACGCATCACAGGCTTGGTGCGAGGGACAGGAACAGGCCGGACCGTACTGGGAACACACACCACTGGCCTTGTACGGGGATCAGGAACGGGCCGGACCGGACTGGTAACACACTCCAGTACCTCTCGCCGTGCCTCTACACTCTCCTTCCCTCTAATGACCAATGGCCCCCGTAACCTGGTGGCCTTCTCTCCTAGTCCACAATCTCGCCCTGTAGCTGCCTCCAGCAGCCCCGTCATCCATGCCATGTGCCCCCCCAAAAAAAAATTATTGGGGTTGCCTCTCGCCTGTCCGACGACGGCCCGGTTGGTGCCGCTTCTCCTCTCCTGCCTGGGTCTCCCCCTTCATCGCCCTCCGGTAACGGACGGCCTCCTCCTCCGTTATCCTCCCCCAACCGAGGAGGACATTTACCAATGTTACCTCCGGCGTTTGCTCCTGGAAACGCTGCTTGGTCCTGTTTTGGTGGGATCTTCTGTCACGATCGTCGTAATGAGTGGACCAAGGCGCAGCGTGAAATGCGTACATCTTTTATTGAGTACTATTAACAATAACAAAACAAACAAAACGAAACAAAACGTGAAGTCCTCGGTCATAAACACAAACCTACACGGAACAAGATCCCACAAAAGACAAGTGCACAACAGGCTGCCTAAGTATGGTTCCCAATCAGAGACAACGAGCCACAGCTGTCTCTAATTGGGAACCACCCCGGCCAACATAGAAACACATAAACTAGAACAAGAACAAAGAAAACGAAACATAGAACCTAACACCCAGAAACTAACACATAGAAACTAACACCCTGGCTCAACATATAAAAGTCCCCAGAGCCAGGGCGTGACAAATTCTCTCCAATAAATAATATAACGTATAAATGCCTCATGAGCTTAGCACAACTATCTTACCCTATCATAACCCACAATATAAGGTTAAATATTTCTGGCCCCATTCTTCAGCTCTACCAAAACAAGTGGCGGGTGAATACCAGAACAGAGCGAATGCCAGGATGTAGCTTTATGTGTCTACTGTTCTAACAGAGAGATGGGGTGTCCGTGACTGACCACTTGACAATCGAATCTCATATTATCATAATTAATTGGATTTCATATTGATTTCACAAAGAAATCAACTTTTTAGTTTTGTAATGTGGTCTACCCCATTAACATCAATGCATGATTAACAAGTTCTTGAGTTTGTCTCAAGTTTGATACTGAAACAGGCAAGCAGGTGTTCTTATTTCTGTTTGTCCAAGAAAATACTCAGTAACATATACAATGGTAATACATTGTTATTACTATAGTGTAATTACTGTTACCAAACAGGTATAATATCAACTTAATGGAAAGTGTTACTGAGATTTGAGTTATGATTATTAAGAACATTAGGTTGCTGGTTACATCAGTGTAGTAACGTGGCTGTAGTTACCGAGGTAACGTCAGTGTAGTAACGTGGCTGTAGTTACCGAGGTAACATCAGTGTAGTAACGTGGCTGTAGTTACTGAGGTAACGTCAGTGTAGTAACGTGGCTGTAGTTACCGAGGTAACGTCAGTGTAGTAACGTGGCTGTAGTTACTGAGGTAACATCAGTGTAGTAACGTGGCTGTAGTTACTGAGGTAAGTCAGTGTATACGTTGTAGTTACGAGGTAACATGTAGCTGTGTTAATTACTGAGGGTGTAGTAACGTGCGTGTTATGAGGTAACGTCAGTGTAGTAACATGGCTGTAATTACTGAGGTAACGTCAGTGTAGTAACGTGGCTGTAGTTACTGAGGTAACATCAGTGTAGTAACGTGGCTGTAGTTACCGAGGTAACGTCAGTGTAGTAATGTGGCTGTAATTACCGAGGTAACGTCAGTGTAGTAACGTGGCTGTAGTTACTGAGGTAACGTCAGTGTAGTAACGTGGCTGTAGAGTTGAGCATTTTTTTGTTATTACACAAGTTGAATGAGTAACAGTCCCTATAAATAACTAGATCATAACTAAAATCTAAATCCTTTTAGAGGGACCAAGGTGTAAACTTTATATATCAACGAATTGGCGAGGGCACTGGAACAGTCTGCAGCACCCGGCCTCACCCTAATAGAATCTGAAGTCAAATGTCTACTGTTTGCTGATGATCTGGTGCTACTGTCCCCAACCAAGGAGGGCCTACAGCAGCACCTAGATCTTCTGCACAGATTCTGTCAGACCTGGGCCCTGACAGTAAATCTCAGGAAGACAAAAATAATGGTGTTACAAAAAAGGTCCAGTTGCCAGGACCACAAATACAAATTCCATCTAGACACCGTTGCCCTAGAGCACACAAAACACTATACATACCTCGGCCTAAACATCAGCGCCACAGGTAACTTCCACAAAGCTGTGAACGATCTGAGAGACAAGGCAAGAAGGGCCTTTTACGCCATCAAAAGGAACATAAAATTTGACTTACCAATTAGGAGCTGGCTAAAAATACTTGAATCAGTTATAGAACCCATTGCCCTTTATGGTTGTGAGGTCAGTGGTCCGCTCACCAACCAAGAATTCACAAAATGGGACAAACACCAAATTGAGACTCTGCATGCAGAATTCTGCAAAAATATCCTCAGTGTACAATGAAAAACACCAAATAATGCATGCAGACAGAATTAGGCCGACACCCGCTAATGATTAAAATCCAGAAAAGAGCCGTTAAATTCTATAACCACTTAAAAGGAAGCGATTCCCAAACCTTCCATAACAAAGCCATCACCTACAGAGAAATGAACCTGGAGAAGAGTCCCCTAAGCAAGCTGGTCCTGGGTCTCTGTTCACAAACACAAACAGACCCCACAGAGCCCCAGGACAACAACAAAAACACAATTAGACCCAACCAAATCATGAGAAAACAAAAAGATAAGTACTTGACACATTGGGAAAGAATTAACAAAAAAACGGAGCAAACTAGAATGCTATTTGGCTCTAAACAGAGAGTACACAGTGGCAGAATACCTGACCACTGTGACTGACCCAAACCTAAGGAAAGCTTTGACTATGTACAGACTCAGTGAGCATAGCCTTGTTATTGAGAAAGGCCGCCGTAGGCAGACCTGGCTCTCAAGAGAAGACAGGCTATGTGCACACTGCCCACAAAATGAGTTGGAAACTGAGCTGCACTTCCTAACTTCCTGCCAAATGTATGACCATATTAGAGACACATATTTCCCTCAGATTACAGAGATCCACAAAGAATTCGAAAACAAACCTAATTTTGATGAACTCCCTTATCTACTGGGTGAAAAACCACAGTGTGCCATCACAGCAGCAAGATTTGTGACCTGTTGCCACAAGAAAAGGGCAACCAGTGAAGAACAAACACCATTGTAAATACAACCCATATTTATGTTTATTTATTTTCCCATTTGTACTTTAACTATTTGCACATTGTTACAACACTGTATATATATATATACATAATATGACATTTGAAATGTCTTTATTCTTTTGGAATTTACTGTTAATATTTATTGTTTATTTCACTTTTGTTTACTATATACTTCACTTGCTTTGGCAATGTAAACATATGTTTCCCATGCCAATAAAGCAATTAAATTAAATTGAATTGAATTGAGAGGCAGAGAGAGAGAGAAACACACAGAGAGAGAGAGCTCATCCCTCGGCAGTAGTAATGTAGATTACTTTATCACTGAACTCAACCCAGAGTCTCTCAGAGCGTTCACAGTCAGCCCATTAACACCCCTATCAGATCACAGCAGAATCACAGTCTACCTGAACAGAGCAACGCTAAACCATGAGGTATTGAAGCTGAATAAACTGCATGATATTAAGAACTGCTATAGCTGGAAGGAGGTAGTGTAGAAACCTACCAAAAAACAATTAGGCAACAACAATTTAATTTCTCCTAGACAAATTCCTGTTTCCCTGCAATAGTGAAGGTTTAGAATTAGCAGTACGAAGCCTGAACAATATATTTGACCTATCAGCTAACATATCAAATCAAAATAATTCTAGCAGAAAACCTAACAATGAGAAATGGTTTGATGAAGAATGCAAAAACCCAAGAAAGACATTGAGAAACCTGTCCAACCAAAAACACAGAGACCCAGAAAACGAGAACCTACGTCTTCACTATGGTGAAACACTAAAACAGTACAGAAATACACTAAGAAAAAAGAAGGAACAGCGTGTCAGAAAACAGCTCAATGTGATTGAAGAATCCATAGAATCAAATCACTTCTGGGAAAATGTTTGTTACAGTATTTTACTGTATTGCCTTTTTTCTTACTTTAGTTAATTTTTTACTTTAAAGAAAATCTGGTTAAAGGCTTATAAGTATTTCACAGTAAGGTCTACACCTGTTGTATTCGGTGCATGTGACACATACAATTTGATTTGATTTGAAATTGGAACACGATAAACAAACAACACGAAGAGCTATCAACAATCAGCTATTAAACAACACAAAGAGCTATCAACAATCAGCTATTAAACAACACAAAGAGCTATCAACAATCAGCTATTAAACAACACAAAGAGCTATCAACAATCAGCTATTAAACAACACAAAGAGCTTTCAACAATCAGCTATTAAACAACACAAAGAGCTATCAACAATCAGCTATTAAACAACACAAAGAGCTATCAACATGGAGATGTATGGATTAACCACTTCTCCAACCTTTTCGGCCATTTAACAAAGAACCAAGAGCAAACACATATGCATGATCAATTGCAAAACTTATAATCAGCTATTAAAGACTACCAGAACCCACTGGATTCTCCAATTATATTGGATGAGCAGAAAATAAAAAATAAACTCCAACCCAAAAAAAGCCTGTGGTGTTGATGGTGTTGATGGTATAACTAAATTAAATGATAAAATATACAGACCACAAATTCAAATGTCTCTTCAACATCATCCTTAGCTCTTCTTCGCATCTTCACCAATATTTGGAACCAAGGTTTGATCACCCCAATCCACAAAAGTGAAGACATATTTGTCCCCAATAATTACAGTGGACAGTAACCTCAGAAAAATCCTCTGCTGTATCATCAAAAGAAGACTCCAACATTTCCACAGTGAAAACAATGTCCTGTGCAAATGTCAAATTTGCTTCTTAGAAAAATACTGTACGACAGACCACGTATAAACCCTCTTATTGACAAACAAATAAAACAACACAAAAGCAAAGTCTTCTCATACGTTGTTAGCTTTTGACTCAATTTGGCATGAGGATCTGCTATACAAATTGATGGAAAGCGATGTTGGGGGGGAAGTTAAAATTGGCAATATAAACACAGATTTCTTTCTTCAGGGCCGTGGGGTGAAACAGGGATGTAGCTTAAGCCCCACCCTCTTCAACATACACTGAGTGTACAAAACATCAGGAACTCTTTCCATGACATAGACTGACCAGGTGAAAGCTATGATCCCTTAATGATGTCACTTGTTAAATCCACTTCAATCAGTGTAGATGAAGGGGAGGAGACAGGTTACAGAATGATTTTTAAGCCTTGAGACAATTGAGACATGGATTGTGTATGTGTGCCATTCAGAGGGTGAATGGGCAAGACAAAATATTTAAGTGCCTTTGAATGGTGTATTGTAGTAGGTACCATGCACACTAGTTTGAGTGTAAAGCTGCTGGGTTTTTCATGGTCAACAATTTCCTGTATGTATCAAGAATGGTCCACCACCCAAAGGACATCCAGCCAACTTGACACAACTGTGGGAAGCATTGGAGACAAAATGTCCATGCCCTGACAAGGGCAAAAGGGGGTGCAACTCAATATTAGGAAGGTGTTCCTAATGTTTTGTACACTCAGTGTATATATCAAGGAATTGGTGAGGGCACTAGAACAGTCTGCACCTTCATGATGTAATGTTTACTGTACATTTTTTAAAATGTTTTTTTGTTGATGATGTTTTTTGTTTCTTCTCACATTTGTTTATTGTTTATTTCACTTGCTTTGGCAATGTAAACATATGTTCCCCATGCCAATAAAGCCCCTTGAATTGAATTGAGAACGAGAGAGAGAGCGATAGAGGCAGAGAGAGAGTGAGAGAGAGAGAGAGAGAGAGAGAGAAAGAGAGAGAGAGAGAAATAGAGAGAGAGAGACAGAGAGAGAGGCAGAGAGAGAGAGAGAGAGAGAGAGAGGCAGAGAGAGAGAGGCAGAGAGAGAGAGAGAGGCAGAGAGAGAGAGAGAGAGGGGGGGGGGGGGAGAGAGACAGAGAGAGACAGAGAGTGACATAGAGAGACACAGAAATAACGAAACAAAGAGAGGAACCCTAGAAAATTCAAGAAATAGCATATTGATGTATTGTTGTGATGATGATTCTGTTTCTATTCTCAGGTGTCCTTGAGCTCTTTGCGGTTTCTCAGGGGGTCATCGGTATCCGAGGAGTCTACAGCAACAGATTTCTAGCCATGAACAAGAGAGGAAGGCTGCATGCCGTCGTAAGTATCCCAATAAGTACCCCATTTATTATATAGTGCACTACTTTTGCCCAGGGCCCATAGGGTGCCATTTATGGTGTCATTTTGCAGAAACTACATTGTTTCTTTTCATGAAATGAATTTGTCCTGAACACTGAAAGAGATGAAAGCAATAGTAAGACCCCAGATCTGTTTGTGCTGTGTTGCCAATGGGACCAGGCTAGAACCAGGCTAGAAAGTCATGGCACAGACAACAAATGTGAACCATCTTGAGAATTGCTGATTTACTTTCCTTTTTTTTTTACTATGAATTGCTTCAAATTACTTTAAATCTGCACCCAGCAGTCAGTCAGCTAGCCAGCCAGCCAACCAGCCAGGCGGGCAGCCAGGCGGGCAGCTACACTGCTGTTTGTAAGCTGGACAGCCAATCATCTAGCTCTGCTGACAGTCATCCGTAGGGAGCCTGGGCTTGGCCTGGCTGGGTAGATAGATACAAGCCTCTTCCTGTTAGCATGTGTTAACGGGCAGTCCAGATTAGTCCAATCTGGGAAGGCCGATAATATATCTAGAGAGAGAAAGAGAGAGAAAGATACAGCGACAGAGAGACAGACAGGCAGACAGAGCGAGCGAGCGAGTGAACAAGACAGAGAGGGAGAGAAAGAGTGAGTGAATGAGACAGAAAGAGGGAAAAAGTGAGTGAACTGGACAGAGAGAGGGAAAAAGTGAGTGAACTGGACAGAGAGAGGGAAAGAGTGAGTGAACGAGACAGAGAGGGAGAGAAAGAGTGAGTGAACTAGACAGAGAGAGAGGGAAAGAGTGAGTGAACTGGACAGAGAGAGAGGGAAAGAGTGAGTGAACTGGACAGAGAGAGGGAAAGAGTGAGTGAACGAGACAGAGAGGGAGAGAAAGAGTGAGTGAACTAGACAGAGAGAGAGGGAAAGAGTGAGTGAACTGGACAGAGAGAGAGGGAAAGAGTGAGTGAACGAGACAGAGAGAGCGAGAGCGAGAGCGAGAGCGAGAGCGAGAGCGAGAGCGAGAGCGAGAGCGAGAAACAAAGGGATAAATGTGAAGAAGTCCTGTAAGCCGCTGCAGACACAGTGGACAATTAGAGTTTGTCCAGCTGAATAGGATCCATCAGTGGTGAATTAGTCTGGATTCTCCTCGCTCGCTGCGCACACACACACACACACACACACACACACACACACACACACACACACACACACCTGAGACGCCCAGCCCTGTGTGTGTGTGTGTGTGTGTGTGTGTGTGTGTGTGTGTGCAGCGAGCGAGGAGAATCCAGACTAATTCACCAGTGATGGATCCTTTTCAGCTGGACTAGCTCTAATTGTCCACTGTGTCTGCAGCGGCTTATAGGACTCTTCTTCACAACAGAAAGACTCTCTGTGGTTGGGGGGCTCGTCTGTCTGTGGTCGGGGGGCTCGTCTGTCTGTGGTCGGGGGGCTCGTCTGTCTGTGGTTGGGGGGCTCGTCTGTCTGTCGTCGGGGGGCTCGTCTGTCTGTGGTTGGGGGGCTCGTCTGTCTGTGGTCGGGGGGCTCGGGTTCCACACACTGTCTTTATCCGTCTGTCATATTTAGTGGCAATTGATTGTCTGTAATAATGGGCAAGTAGACAGATGTGTTTTATCTACCAAGCCAGCGATTACAAACAACATCTCTTCTAAGGTCAAAGGGTCACCTGGATTTATTGAACAAACGTTGGGGGGAGGGAGGGAGGGAGGGAGAGCATGAGAGAAAGAGAGAATAAAAGGAACCATACCATACAGGTTATTAGATCTGGTGGGAGCTCTGCCGAACCATACCATACAGGTTATTAGATCTGGTGGGAGCTCTGCCGAACCATACCATACAGGTTATTAGATCTGGTGGGAGCTCTGCCTAACCATACCATACAGATTATTAGATCTGTTGGGAGCTCTGCCGAACCATACCATACAGGTTATTAGATCTGGTGGGAGCTCTGCCGAACCATACCATACAGGTTATTAGATCTGGTGGGAGCTCTGCCGAACCATACCAAACAGGTTATTAGATCTGGTGGGAGCTCTGCCGAACCATACCATACAGGTTATTAGATCTGGTGGGAGCTCTGCCGAACCATACCATACAGGTTATTAGATCTGGTGGGAGCTCTGCCGAACCATACCATACAGGTTATTAGATCTGGTGGGAGCTCTGCCGAACCATACCATACAGGTTATTAGATCTGGTGGGAGCTCTGCCGAACCTTACCATACAGATTATTAGTTCTGGTGGGAGCTCTGCCTATAAACAAATGAACAACAAAATACGGAAGATCCAGTATTAAGTAAAACAAAGAGATGTTCTTGGTTGACACTCCCACAGTAGAATAGGCCCGTAGTGCAGATTTACAGTAGTGTACTTGAGGAACAGGCCCGTAGTGCAGATTTACAGTGGTGGACTTGAGGAATGGGCCTTGGCTATCGCTAAGAGTTCTAGAGGAGTCGCGTCAAGGCCAACCATAACCACCCATAACCACCCATAACCACCCATAACCACCCATAACAAGACAGAAAACTGGGATGATGTCTGAATCCTGAATAATTTATGTCTATGTTAAACCGTCAGGAACAAAAACACTATGCCTAAGGACTAACCCAAAACCAAATAATATGGGTGCCACAAAGTAAATCATTCAAGTAATATCTAAATCCTACTAGCTCCGGTGCTCACTCCCTCCGCTAGTCAAAGAACACACACAGACAAAACACACACACACAACACAAAACACACACACACACACAACACAACACACAACACACACGCACCAGTCATTCTCCCACCAGCTACAAGCTACGACAGCAATTCTTGGCCTCGTCTTCTTCAATTACGCTCACCTCCACACTTCAACACACACTCAAGGTTTGGACAAGCTAATCCGATGCCCAGGTGTCAACGGGCCTGTCAAATTCCCAGTGACGTGGTGTTGCTCCTTCTATTCCTCTGCTTCTCATCCGTCTGCTTCTCATCCGTCTGCTTCTCATCCGTCTGCTTCTCATCCGTCTGCTTCTCATCCGTCTGCTTCTCATCCGTCTGCTTCTCATCCGTCTGCTTCTCATCCGTCTGCTTCTCATCCGTCTGCTTCTCATCCGTCTTCTTCTCATCCGTCTGCTTCTCATCCGTCTTCTTCTCATCCGTCTGCTTCTCATCCGTCTGCTTATCATCCGTCTGCTTCTCATCCGTCTGTTTCTATCCGCCTGCTTCTCATCCGTCTGCTTCTCATCCGTCCTGCTTCTATCCGTCCGCTTCTCATCCGTCCGCTTCTCATCCGTCTGCTTCTATCCGTCTGCTTCTATCCGTCTGCTTCTATCCGTCTGCTTCTCATCCGTCTGCTTCTATCCGTCTGCTTCTCATCCGTCTGCTTCTCTCCGTGCTTGCTTCGTCGCTGGTTCTGTTAGCTTGGTAGCTAGCAGGCTGTGGCTGTTGTAGTAATGTGTGGTGTCGGAGTGTGGAGCTGGAGCTGGTAGCAAGTGCAGGAGGAGTGAGAGAAAAAGGTGCGTCCATCCCTCATTGTAAAGGGACCCAATCAGGTGAGCCCGTTCAGGTAGTCCGAGGCAACCTAACATGAGTTGGGCTCACACACAAAAAGGGGCGGGTTAATAGCATGAGATTGACACATCATATACAAATCACAGTAATCCCCTTTTGCCACTTGTGAACATTTCGTCAATTCTTTGATCAATGCTTAAGTGATAACTAAACAGACTAAAAGGCTCAGATGAGTATGTTCAGCCTCACACAGTACTGCACAAGTGTTGTAGGATCATGGGAGACGGCTGTTTTAAAGAGTGTAACCAATCGTTCAGGCCGCTCGCAGGTTGGACAGCTGTCCAAGCATTATGATTTTACACAATAAAACCTCTATCTGCTTCCAGTCATTAAACTGAACTCAAACCAGAAACAGAGACAGGATAGAAGGATAGAACCATGGAATGCTTTAAACCATAAACAGAGACAGGACAGAAAGAAGTCGACCAAAACAATGTAATTGCCATGGAAACGCGTGGGGGAAAGTTCCCTATTCTCCTTAACGCCCGCATTTAGCCAATGGTTTATATCTGTATATCACACTATGTTGAGGTGTCACGTTCGTTGAATGATGGGTCAGACCAAGGCGCAGCGTGATATACGTACATGTTTATTTTAACTTTTAAACACACTACAAAACAACAAAGGAAATGAAACGTGAAGTCCAAGGTAGAACACACACACAACATACCTTACAAGGAACAAGATCCCACAACACACTAGTGCCAATAGGCTGCCTAACTATGATCCCCAATCAGAGACAACGAGCTACAGCTGCCTCTGGTTGGGAACCACACCGGCCAACATAGAACTATACATAATAGATCGAAACCTAGAAAACACACAACAACGAATATACACACCCTGACTCAACATTTAAGCGTCCCCTGAGTCAGGGCGTGACATGAGGTAAAAATCGGAGTATAATGCTTGTATGGATGTCAACCCCAACACATGTTCATGTCATCATTACCAATCAACAACATTACAGTTAAAAAACGACTTTGACTACCACCACCGATTTCTGTGTGCTAGCTATGCTAACCAGCTTATTTGAATGGGAGTTAGCATTTTGCAGTCACTTCTTCTAAATCTGAAAACTTCTACATGTCGGACTTAAGTAGCCACATTGTGGACCTGTTCCAATGCATAAATCATGACAGATTTGACAAATATACACTTTGTTCGATCAGATTTGTTAAATGTGCGCCAATCTGGTCAATGGAACGTCTGCGTTTCATTGACTCCTTTACCGCATCTATAGAAGGATAGAACTATGGAATCCTTTTGGTGCTACTCATAATATCTCAACATTCTACAAGCACTAAATATTCTAAGAATGTAATAATATATGGCATTTAGTAGACACTTTTATCCAAAGCTTTTTAAGCATTTAGTAGACACTTTTATCCAAAGCTTTTTAAGCATTTAGTAGACACTTTTATCCAAAGCTTTTTAAGCATTTAGTAGACACTTTTATCCAAAGCTTTTTAAGCATTTAGTAGACACTTTTATCCAAAGCTATTTAAACAGTGATTGCATACATTTTTTTGTGTGAATGTGACCCCAGCGGAATTAAAATCTACAAACCTGGAATCACAAGTGCCACACTCTTAACAACTGAGCCACACAGGACCATTTTGAAAGAGGAATTAAGTCCTTGTTGTAAGGCTTGTGGTACTGTGGAGCTACATTATCTGTCAACTAGCTGTGCACAACTGCTACAGTGTCGCCTTTCAGTGTGTTGGGAGAATTTACTGTACTGTCAGGCTAAAACTGTTGAAGTCACCTACCCACAACCATCGAGGGCTTTCCCATACAATTGTCTAATTATTACTCAAAACAACAATACCCGGAGGATGCTGGGGAATATAGAACAACTTATAAAGTTGATGGTCTTCATCTGTTGTTATGGTGGATCATCTTGTGAGTGACATGTTTACAGAGTGGCTGTAATGGCACCGTGTTCTGCAGTGTTGTTGTTTCAGAACCAACAGAACAGGGTAAGGGCTGTAAAAGGCATTGTAGCATACATGTTCTACTGCACCTGTGGGCATCCTGGGGTAGTACATGTTGTAGTTTCCCACCAAAGGTATTTTTAGGGTTAGTTAGGAAGCCACAAGACAGACATCTTGTGTTGTGAATTTTTTGGATTTTAGTTGAGGAATGGGTTTAGTCTCAATCCTGAATGAGCAAAGTCATTCATTCAGATCACATTTACTCGGGGCGGCAGGTGGCTCAGTGGTTAAGAGCGCTGTGCCAGTAACCGAAAGGTCGCTGGTTCTAATCCCCGAGCCGACTAGGTGAAAAATCTGTCGATGTGCCCTTGAGCAACGCACTTAACCCTAATTGCTCATGTAAGTCGCTCTGGGTAAGAGCGTCTGCTAAATGATTAAAATGTAATGTAATGCATGTATCATGATGATTTTCTGGAATCTTAGAAGTCGCTGTTCCTTTTTTAACAAATATCTTGTGTGTTCTGCATGCACGTTGAGGAATGGGTTGGGTCTCTATACTGAAGGAGTGTAGTCATTAAATCAGTTTACATGTTGGTTCTATAATGAGTATTGGGGCAGTACAAAGAAGTCCCCCCCCCCCCCGTTGTGCCAATACTCATTATAGAACCAAACAGGCTTCTTTGCTTGCTGAATAGGTTTACAGAGATAATCAAGAAAGTTTCTATGTCAGGTCATTAATGACACTTCTTTCTCTTCCTGCTCTGTAACATTATGTTGAGTAACATACTTAACAGTACCATTTTGCTCTCTGTAACATCGTTTTATTTTACGTTCTCGAGGAGCGGTTCACGGACGACTGTAGGTTCCGGGAGCGTTTCCAGGAGAACAGCTACAACACGTACGCCTCGGTGTTGCACCGGAACCACCGGACGGGACGGGACTGGTACGTGGCCCTGAACAAGAGAGGCAAATCCAAGATGGGCTCCAGCCCCAGGGTCAAATCACAGCACGTTTCCACGCACTTCCTCCCCAGGCTCAATGTGCACCACCTGCAGAGCGTTCGAGGCTTCGCCATCACCAACAGGAGCAAAGAGAGGAGGAACAGCCTTCCACCACAACCGGCACTCGCCAAACCGCCCTCACAGCCAAATGCAGGGACAAGGAAGAGGGTGCAGACTGTCAAGTACTGGCCCAAGTTTCGGTTTGGATAGACTGCGGAGTAATGGGGGAGGAAGTAGTGCAAACTGTATGTGCATTGATTGGGTGGCCACATAAACATGGACATGACATCTGTTGCCCTCGAATAATTGCTGAACTTTTACTTTTCTGTTATTTCGAAAGCATTCCAGTTGTCATAAAGTAGCGAGTTCAAAACCAAAGGGCTATAAAATGCAATCGATAAGCTTTGTGATTGTAAAGCTATGATGGTTACAATGGTTGGGGTTGGAAATGCTTCCGAAGGGGGTCCCTTCGGCCAACTAAAAACACAACGTGAGATAACTAGTTCATATATGGTTTGAAACACAACATGAGCTACATTACATGACCAAAAGTATGTGGACACCTGCTCGTCGAACATCTCAATCCAAAATCATAGAGTCGCCGTTCCAATTCATCCTAAAGGTGTTCGATGGGGTTGAGGTCAGGGCTCTGTGCAGGCCAATCAAGTTCTTCCACACCGATCTCGACAAACCATTTCTGTATGGACCTGGCTTTGTGCATGGGGGCATTGTCATGCTGAAACAGGAAAGGGCCTTCCCCAAACTGTTGCCAGAAAGTTGGAAGCACAGAATCGTCTAGAATGTCATTGTATGCTGTGGCGTTATGATTTACCTTCACTGGAACTAAAGGGCCTAGCCCGAACCATGAAAAACAGCCCCAGACCATTATTCCTCCTCCACCAAACTTTACAGTTGGCACTATGTATTCAGGCAGGTAGCGTTCTCCTGGCATCCGCCAAACACAGATTCATCCGTCGGACTGCCAGATGAAGCGTGATTCATCACTCCAGAAAAAGTGTTTCCACTACTTCAGCCGACGCTTGGCATTGCGCATGGTGATTTTAGGCTTGTGGGTGGCTGCTTGGCCATGGAAACCCATTACATGAAGCTCCCGACGAACAGTTATTGTGCTGACATTGCTTCCAGAGGCAGTTTGGAACTCGGTAGTGAGTGTTGCAAGCGAGGACAGGGAATCTTTATGTGCTTCAGCACTCGGCGGTCCGTTCTGTGAGCTTGTGTGGCCTACCACTTTGCGGCTGAGCTCTTGTTGCTCCTAGACGTTTCCACTTCACAATAACAGCACTTACAGTTGACCGGGGCAGCTCTAGCAGGGCAGAAACTTGACGAACTGACTTGTTGGAAAGGTGGCATCCTATGACGGTGCCACGTTGAAAGTCACTGAGCTCTTCATTAAGGCCATTCTATTGCCAATGTTTGTCTGTGGAGATTGTATGGCTTTGTGCTCTATTTTACACACCTGTCAGCAACGGATGTGGCTGAAATAGACGAATCCACTAATTTGAAGGGGTGTCCACATACTTTTGTATATATCATGTAACTAGTTCACATGGTTAGAAAGGAGGACAGTTCTATGGGATATATCATGTAACTAGTTCACATGTTCCCAGGAGGACAGTTCTATGGGATAAAGATGCCTGGATGGACCGACAGGCCGTGTTTCGGAGAAGGCTCAAGCCATAGGTGTATCAAATGGCACGAAGGCAGACAGCCGCAGTTTGTGTGGCCTAGAAGGAAAACACTGCAGAGAAGGAGGGATGCTAGTTGATGATTGGCTGGGTTCAAATCTGGGTCACCTGTGTGCCACCAAAATTGTGTTTTCTTTCTTTAGCCTGAGTTAAAGCCTAGGCATTGAATGAATGAAACAATATTCTTCTACATCACATTTCATGAAGCGTTTTAATTTATTTTCATGTGAATTCATAACAAATAATTACCGGCACTTTAGGCATTATGACCTCAGAGAGGGGCGGTCTCCCTGTGTTTTGTTCTTCACTTCTCTTTTTTAAATTATTTTACATTTTGTCTTTACTGGTGTACGAGAGGACATTGTCAATCTTCTTCAGATAAGTCCCAAAGGGAGATTTTTCTGTCATTTTTTATCCATGAAATATAAACAAATAATATGTAATGTGACAAAAGGTAAATCTGTTGGTTGCTATGTAATGTGACTAAAGGTCAATCTATTGGTTGCTATGCAATGTGACTAAAGGTAAATCTATTGGTTGCTATGTAATGTGACTAAAGGTAAATCTATTGGTTGCTATTGTCAATGGCTGAGGTGAATGTGGTGTGGGAGTCAGGCGCAGGACACCGAAGCTTAGTCCAACAAAGTTTACTAGTGCAACACAGGGCACAATACAAATGAACGGCCTCAACACAAACCAGAGGCGAGCGATTACGCAAACTCTGCGTAAACAACAAAAACAACAAACAGAGAAAACACGCAGCACTAACGGACAGGCGAATAACAACACACAAACTAACCAACACAAAACAGGCAACTTATAGGACACATAATCAGACACAAACGGACACAGGTGCAATAGACAGACAAAAGCAATCAAACACTGAAACATCTAACGGTGGCAGCTAGTACTCCGGGGACGGCGAACGCCGAAGCCTGCCCGAGCAAGGAGGAGGAGCAGCCTCGGCAGAATCCGTGACAGTACCCCCCCCCTTGACGCGCGGCTCCAGCCGTGCGCCGACCCCGGCCTCGGGGACGACCAGGAAGACGCGGAGCCGGGCGCGTGGGATGACCACGGTGGAACTCAGTCAGGAGAGATGGATCTAGGATATCCCTCCTAGGCACCCAGCACCGTTCCTCCGGACCGTACCCCTCCCACTCCACGAGATACTGGAGACCCCCCATCCGACGTCTCGAGTCCAAGATGGTCCTGACTGTGTACGCCGGAGCTCCCTCGATGTCCAGAGGGGGCGGAGGGGTCTCTCCTATCTCACCTTCTTGGAGTGGACCAGCTACCACCGGCCTGAGAAGAGACACATGGAACGAGGGGTTAATATTCTTATAATCAATAGGCAGTTGTAACCTGTAACACACCTCGTTCAATCTCCTCAGGACTTTAAAGGGCCCCACAAACCGCCGACCCAGCTTCCGGCAGGGCAGGCGGAGGGGCAGGTTTCGAGTCGAGAGCCAGACTCGATCTCCCGGTGCGTACACCGGACCCTCACTGCGGTGGCGATCGGCGCTCGCCTTCTGTCGACGGATGGCCCGCTGCAGATGGACATGAGCAGCGTTCCATGTCTCCTCCGAGCGCCGAATCCATTCGTCCACCGCAGGGGCCTCGATCTGGCTCTCGTGCCAGGACCGGCTGATACCCCAACACACACTGGAAAGGGGTTAGATTAGTGGAGGAGTGGCGGAGAGAGTTCTGTGCCATCTCTGCCCAGGGGAGATACCTAGACCACTCCTCCGGCCGGCCCTGGCAATAGGACCTCAGAAACCTACCCACATCCTGGTTGACTCGTTCTACCTGCCCATTGCTCTCTGGGTGGTAACCCGAGGTAAGGCTCCCGAGACCCCCCAAGCGTTCCTATGAACGCCCCCCAGACTCTGGAGGTGAACGGGGACCTCCGGTCAGACACTATATGCCTCGTGCACCCCCTAGTGTCGGAAAACGTGGGTGAATAGGTCCGCAGCGTCTGTAGGGCAGTAGGGAGACCCGTCATTGGGAGGAGACGACAGCCTTAGAAACGATCCACAATGACCAAAATAGTGGTAATTCCCCTGGAGGGGGGAAGGTCATTCACACAATCCAACCGAGAGTGGGACCATGGTCGTTGTTGAACGGGCAGGGATGTTAACTTTCCCCCTGGGCAAATGTCTAGGCCGCCTTACACTGGCGCACACCGAGCGGAGGAGACATAAACCCTCACATCCCTAGCTAACGTGGCCACCAGTATTTCCCACCCCAAGGAATGGCGGTTTTCCTTTTCTCCCGACGCCAAATTTGCCCCGGGGGGTGTTCTCTTGTCCAACCGGCGTCCCAAAACCCCCTTTTTTTTTTAATCAGGGTTTGGGGCCTTTTAAATACCTAGGCCCCTCCCCGGCCCTAATGGATGCCCCACTTGGGTATTTCTCCTATTGTTTTGGGTGGTCCCGGGTTTTGGCCCACCAACCCCCGCTTTCCTAAGCCCCCAACTCTTGAATCTGGGTCCTTACCTCCCCCTTTGGGGGCGTGGGGTGGGGGAGGGGTACGGGGGGGCCCGGAGGGGAAAACACACTTAAAAAAACCACCCCCCTCCAAAAATAGGGGTTCCCTAAAACCCTCACCCCGAACCCCCTGGTCTTTAACCCGGGGGGGAAATTTCCCGGGGTTTGGGGTTCTCGCCCCCAAAAACTCCCCTCCCCCCTTACTTCCCCCTACACCGGCAGGCCGTCGGCCCCATAAAATTAACCCAAAAAACCCTGGGACCCTGGGGGATGTATGTGATCTTAAAAAACAAACCGGGTCAGGAACATGTTCCACCTAGCCTGACGAGGGTTCAATCTCTAGCTGCCCGGATGTACTCCAGGTTACGGTGGGTCAGTCAGAATGAGGAAAGGGTGTTGAGCCCCTCAAGCCAATGCCTCCACAACCTTTAGGGCCTGGACTACAGCTAACAGCTCCCTGTCCCTACGTCATAATTGCGCTCCGCCAGGCTGAGCTTCTTAGAATAGAATGCACAGGGGCGGAGTTTAGGTGGTGTGCCGGACCGTTGCGACAGGACTGCCCCAATACCGGCCTCGGACGCGTCTACCTCAACTTGGAATGGTAAAGCGGGGTCAGGATGCGCCAGCACCGGAGCCGAAGTGAACAGGTTCTTAAGTTTATCCAAACGCCCTGTCCGCCTCAGCTGACCACTGCAAACGCACCGGACCCCCCTTTAGCAGGGACGTAATGGGAGCTGCCACCTGTCCAAAGCCCCGGATAAACCTCCGGTAGTAATTAGCAAAACCCAAAAACTGCTGCACCTCTTTTACAGTGGTTGGAGTTTGCCAATTACGCACGGCCGACACACGGTCAACCTCTATCTTCACATCAGACGCGGACAACCGATAACCCAAAAAGGAGACGGACTCCTGGAAGAACAAGCATTTCTCTGCCTTAACATACAAGTCATGCTCCAACAGCCTCCTCAACACTCGGCGCACCAGGGCTACATGCTCGGCTCGTGTAGAAGAGTACACT